GCTCAGGTCATGATCTCAGGGTCCTGGGATCGAGCCCCGCATCGGGCTCCCTGCTCAGCGGAGAGCCTGTTTCTCCCTCTCCTACTCCCTCTGCTTGTGTTCCCTCTCTCGCTGTGTTTCTCTCTGTCAAATAAATAAATAAAATCTTTAAAAAAAAAAAAACTAATGATGTAACGTATGGTGATTAACATAACATAATAATAAAAAACCTAATGATGTAATGTATGGTGATTAACATAACATAATAAAAAAATAGAAAAAAAAGAAATGTTATTCATACCTCTATTGTTTACCTTTATAACTATTCTTTTAAGATTAAATAGCTTTTTTGAGACATAATTCAAATGCCATACAATTTACTTAAAGTGTACAGTTCAATGGTATTTACCATGTTCCCAGAGTTGTGTAACTATGACTACAAAAAGAAACTTCATACCATTGGCAATCAACCCCCTTTTTCCCCAACCTTCCCTAGACCTAGGCAACCACTAATCTACTTTTTGTATCTATAGATTTGCCAATTTGGGACATTTCTTATAAATGGAATCATACAATCTTTTGTGACTGGCTTCTTTCATTCAGCATAATGTTTTCAAGGTTTACTCATGTTGTAACATGTATTATTACTCATTCCTTTTTATTACTGAATAATATTACATTGTATGGATAGACCACATTTTATTTATCCATTCATTAGTTGATGGTCATTTGGGTTGTTTCTCCTTTTTGGCTATTATAAATATTGCTTCTCTGAATATTCATGTGTGAGTTTTTGATTGAACATGTATTTTATCAATTCCACTTAAGAGTGGAATTGTTGGTCATACAGTAACTCAATGTTTTATATTTAAGGAACTGAAAATTATTTTCCAAAGTGGTTGCATCATTGTACATTCCCACCAGCAATGCGTGAGTTTTGTAATTTCTTCACATCCTGGCAATACTTATTTGTCTTTTTGATTATAGTCATCCTAATGAGTGCGAAGTGGTATCTCATTGTGGTAGAAAAAGAAAACTTTCACCTCCTTTTCTATCCCAGAAGTTTTGGAAAGTACACTAATTCTAACATAAACCTAAGTAAATCAGTTTGAAAAGTCCTTTGTGTCACTCTCTCCCCCACATTTCCCTTCTGTCAGGACCTTGAGAGAGAATTCAGAATTAAACTGGGCTCCACAATTCTTCTCTGATTGAGAGACTGCAGACTTTCTTCATGGCATCAGTGAACTGATGCTTATCAAGACCGATTTAAAATAGCTCTTCTTGGCTTTTAATATAAAATAGAAGCCAAGGAAGAGCTGTTTCCCCAAACCAGAGCCAGCTTCCACACTTATTCCCACATGTTTTCCCGTGTCTAACTATGAGAAGACATCATTACTCCACCTCCAACTGCATCCCTGTGTATTTTATTCTGTGAGAAGTTCTGGAGAATATATAAGGGGTAACTTTTTCCCTTTTTTTCTTACTGTTATCATTGGCATATTTATTGTACATCTACTATAAGTGGGGCATTTTGTATAAAAGATATCGTCCCAATTATTAAGGACTTTTTTCTTTTGAGAGGGGTAAAGAGTAGAGAATTTTATTTTTCCCTATTTGTTTTGTTATTTCTGTAAGAGTAATTAACTCTTCATTTAAGAAACTAAGACCATTAATTATACTTCCAGTTTAGTACAGAAGACTGAATTATAGCTTAGATCTGTTTAAAATTTATATTCATAGTTTACATTTTTCTAAATTTAATATCTATAGCTATTGAAATTGGGAACAACCAGAATAGCTATTGAATTAATCATAGAGTCCTATTTTTTTCTCTTCAAATTTTTCTCATCTGTAATATCATGCTTGTTATGCAATTCTTACCTAGCAGTCAGAAGTCCAAGTGCCTCCAAAGGGCAAGAAAATTTCCATCTTCTCAAAATGGTATGTATTTCTGAAACAGTTTTTTCATCCCATCCAGGGGCACTACCCAGGACCAAAGGAAGGGAGCAGTTTTCATTATTGCAGTAGAAGCGATAAAACCATAAGTATCTTCTCTTTTCCTCAGAGAGTCTGCAAAACCAGATTGGAAACTGTAATTTATTGGAGTTTGCTACACTAACAAATGTTATAGTACAAAATCTTACTCAGTTCTTTGAATTTCATTTTAGTTTACTTTGGAAAACATGTCCCTTATCTTCTTGGGACAATTTGATAGGTTATTTTATTAGCTTATTTCCTACTAACTTCCTTCTTTTATGGAAAAATAAAATAGAGTTCAGTTCAGATAATTCACATTTATTTTTCCTCCCTCTCATTTTGTCATAATAATGACAAAAATGTCATTTTGGTTAACAAAATCTCTGTCTCCTTTAGGGCAGAGGAAGTTTTATCTGAATCCTGCCACATGTACTACTTAGAACAGAGGTAATCGAAAATTTACTCTCTTACTTTCTTTACAAGTTAATTTAGACCCAAGTGTGCCTGTGAAGCAATGACATATTTAAAAAATGATATTCCTTCATCTCAAAGCAAGTTTCATGAGAGTTCAGAAAACTCTGCACTAAACTTCAAAAACAAAGATTTCAATTCATCCCTGGATTTGGGCTTTAAATTCTCATATTTAGCTGGAAGTTTAGAGTTAGAATGCCAGTGAATAGGATTTCTTTAAATGCCCAAGTGTTTCCCCCTGGAGAATGGTTCCAAACAGAAGATCGAAATCTAGGACTAGGGCCATTGACTTGCTGACAGATTATCATGTTTTGATCACACTCCAGCAGAGGCATTCAGAACCACAGTTCAACTGGAGGACAGCATTTCTCACATGACAATGACAGCTTTTGAACACTGTCTCCTCCAAACTGACAGTGTTGCTCAGCTTAAATTAGCTAAAACTTCTAAGAAGGATAGTAAGAAATATTAAAATATTTTAAAGGTTAATATTTCTCTACATTTTTAAAAGCCACCTTCATTTACAAAATGAAAGGGTTGGCTTATAGAGATTTTTGAAGTATATTTGGGCTCCTGTCCTATTTTGTCACTACCTTCCCCACCAGAAAGTCCTCAGAAGAAAAAATTCCGTTACAAAATTATCAAATTCTGACTAAACCAAATTATTTTGTTCTGATTAAATTCCTTTCTCCCCAGTATTGAACAAGATATTTTTCTTTTACTTTCTTTTAGTGAAGCACACTTTACATCAAAAGGAATGCACACATTCAGTTCAATAAATTTTAACAAATGCATATTCTGAATAAAAACCATACTCCTTTCAAGATACAAGTTTTCTCATGCAAACAGAGGTAAGCACTGGCAGGATTTCTTTCACTCAGGATTAATATTACCTATTTTAGAACTTCACATAAATGGAATCATAGAGTAAATACTTTTATTTATAGCTTCTGTGACTCAGTATGTTTTAAAATTATCCATATTGTTGAGTATATCAATAGTCCATACATTTTAACTAATGAGCATTATTCCTTTGTATGAATACACCACAGTTTGCTTATCCATTCTCCTATCTGATGGACATTTGAAGTTCCTGTTTGGGGATATTATGAGTAAAGCTGCTGTAAACACTTGTATGCAAGTGTTTGTAAGGGTGTATTTTTTCATTTCTCCTAGGAAGTTCCTGGGAGGGGGATGACTGGGTTTTATATCAGGTGTTTGTTTACCTTTTGAAGAAACTGTCAAAATATTTTCTGAAGTGGTTGTAAAATTTTACACTATTATGTGCAGAGTATGATAGTGCTGGTTGTACCACATTCTTGCTAACACTTGATTTTGCCCATTTTAAGATATTATCCATTCTAATGGGTGCATAGTGGTATCTATATGACTAATTTGGGGAGAATTAGAGTTGTCATCTTAACAATAGGGAGTATTCTAATCAATGACATGCTATAACCTTCCATTTATTGAGGTTTTCTTTAATTTCTCTTAGCAAAGTTTTATACTTTTTAATGTAGAGGTTTTGATAGTTAATTGAATTTTATTTTATTTTTATTTTTTATTTATTTTATTTATTTTTTTATTATTAACAAATAATGTATTATTTGTTTCAGGGGTACAGGTCTGTGATTCATCAGTCTTACACAATACACAGCACTCACCACAACATACCCTCCCCAATGTCCTAAAGATTTATTTATTTATTTGAGAGAGAGAGAGAGATTGAGTAGGACGAGGGGCAGAGGAAGAGGGAGACAAACAAATTCCCTGCTGAGTGGAGAGCCCATCAAGGGACTTGATCTCATGACCCTGAAGTCATGACCTGAGCCGAAATCAAGAGTGGGACACTTGACTGACTGAGCCACCCAGGTGCCCCCGTAAATTGAATTTTAAAACAAAATTTATTTTCTGTTTTTCACTGAAATACAATTGCATTTTGTACATTGATGCTAAATGCTATGATCTTACAATAATCATATCATCTAAAAATAGAGGAAGTTTTATTTCCTTCTTTCCCAGTTTGACCCATTTAATTTCTTTTTCTTACGATAGTGCACTGGCTAGGACTTCCAATACAACACTGAAGAGAAATATTTAGATAGATATCCTTGCTTTCCAGTTGTAGGGGGAAAGCATTCATTCTTGCACCATTTAATATGATGTTAACTCTAGATTTTTCCATAGATCTAGATTTAACTCGGGATTTTAAGGTTGAGAAAGTTCCATTCTATTCCTAGTTTTGTGAGTTTTTATTATGAATGAGTGTTGAATTTTGTCAATTGTCTTTTTCCCCAAATCTATCAAGATGATATAATTTTTCTTATGTATCTTTTTCCATTTTTAATCTAGCTGAATCCTTATATTTAAATATACGCCTATAAGTAGCATAAAGTTGCATGTTGCTTTTGTAAGGTAGGTGACAGTTTCTGTTTTTAATTAGAGTTTTTATTCCATTTATATTTAACATAGTATGGATATAATTTCAAATCATTTCTTTGTCCCTTTTCCCTTTTTTTCCTGTCATCTTTTGAATTATTTTCTTGTATTTCATTTTTGTATTCCTCTTGTTCTGTAAATGTGCACCTAAAATTTGGGTGGTGTAGTTCTCTAGAGATTGCAATATTATCTTTAGCACATCACAGCCAACAGTGAATTAATATTAATATTAATTCACCTTATGTATAAGAACCTTAAAACAGTATGCTTTCATTCTTCCATTTCTCATTCTTATTATAGTTGTTATACATTTTATTTTCATATAGTACAAATCCAGCAGTACATTGTAATTATTTTTGCCTTATATAGTTAATTATTTTTTAAAGAAATTGTTAAGTGTGTAAGTAAAAGTAATTTTCTTTCCCACCTATTTTCCCTTTGTAGTGCTTTTCATTTATTCTTATATATTGAGTTTCATCTATTTATCCTTTTCTTTCAGCTGGTAGTATTTCCTTTAAGATTTCTTACAGTACAGATAAGCTGATCATAAACAAATTCAGCTGTGTTTAATTGGAAATATTTTTATTCCACCTTCATTTTTGAAATATAATTTTACTGGTTATAGAATTCAAAGTTGATAGATTTTCTTTTTCCCTTTCTAGATGTAAGATAATAGTCTACTGTCTTTTGGCTCCCATTATTTCTGATAAGAAATCTGCAGTTAATATGATAGTTGTTCCCCTGTAGGAATTTGTTTATTTTCTCTGATGCTTTAAGAATTTTTTTTTTTTAAGATTTTATTTATTTATTTGAGACAGAGAGAATGAGAGACAGAGAGCATGAGAGGGAAGAGGGTCAGAAGGAGAAGTAGACTCCCCGCCGAGCAGAGAGCCCGATGCGGGACTCGATCCCGGGACTCCAGGATCATGACCTGAGGTGAAGGCAGTCGCTTAACCAACTGAGCCACCCAGGCGCCCGCTTTAAGAATTTTTATCTTTATGTTTAGTTTTAGAAATTTGACTATAATATGGATGTGTGGGTGTGTCTGTGTGCTTGGTTTCTTATATCTGTGGGTAGAAGTTCAAAAAATTTTGTAAAATTTTGACTATTATCACTTATTTTTTTTATTTTATTTTTGGCCTAGATCTTTCTCTCCACTCCTGTGTGTCCAATACACATATTGTCAGTATTGTCTGATAGGTTACAAGGATCTATCACTATTTTTAGGATTCTTTTTTTCTGTACTTCAACATGGCTTATTTTCTATCGCCCTTTCTTCAAGCTCACTGTTGTTTCTTTATTATGCAATCTATTAAGCCTTTCCAGTGATTTTTAGAAAATTTAGATATTGTTTTTCAGCTTTTAAATTTACAATTTTATTTACTGAGACTTCATTTGTTCACTCATATACACCTTTTTTTTTTTTTTTGTAAATCCATAGATGTCTTTTTAATAGTTGTATTTAAATCATTAGCTGCTAGTTTAAAAATATTTGGATTTGTCTCTGTTAACTGCTTCCTCCTATCCTGCGCTCTGGTTACATATTCCTGAGTCCTTCTATGTCTAGCAATTATTGATTGTACATTAAGTATTTAAAATGCTACATTGTCTGCATTTTGCCATCTTTTCAGTGTTAAATGTTTTGATTTTTTTTTAATAGGCAGTTTAAGCACTAGCAGATCAACTTTAGCCTTTTGAGACTTGTTTTAATGATAGGTTGGGCCTCGCATAGTCTTTCATCTTGGGCTAGAGAACACTTACTCTTTTTTTTTTTTTTTAAGATTTTATTTATTTATTTGAGACAGAGAGAATGAGAGAGAGCATGAGAGGGAGGAGGGTCAGAGGGAGAAGCAGACTCCCCGCCGAGCAGGGAGCCCGATGCGGGACTCGATCCCCGGACTCCAGGATCATGACCTGAGCCGAAGGCAGTCGCTTAACCAACTGAGCCACCCAGGCGCCCGAGAACACTTACTCTTAATATGCATCTTTCTGGTTTCTTTGTTGAATGCTTGGGGTGTTCTGAGATCTTTTTTCATTCTTATTGGTCAATATTTCTCTGTCTTCCCGCACTGTGCAACCTGTGGAATCTACATTCATGTCACATTTCCCTGTGATGGCTCTTTTGCAGGCTTACAAAATCTCTACCTGCTCATGAGTAGCTAAGTACTCAGATATGTATTTCTGTAGCTCCTATCCTTCTCTACTATTATGCTCTAGAAATTCCAGCTGCTTCAGCATCATTAAACTCTGATCTCTGCCCACTTTTTTTTTTTTTAATCTCAGCAAGACCACTTCTTTGATTATACCTCCCAGAGCCATGATGTAGAAAGTGCCTCCAGGCTGAAAAACACTTTATTCATGAGCGCACCTCAAGCCCCATCCAATTTCTGAAAACATTTGTTTCATATGTATTTTTCTTGTCTCATATTCCTTTAAGTCAGGAGAATTAGTCTAGTAATAGGTGCCTTTCATAGCTAGAAGTGGAAGCAGTAATTTCTTTCAAAACAACTTTTTCTATCTTTTGTTCTGGAATCTTTTTTATATTAGAAACACTCTTAGCTGTCATCAAGAATCTATATTTTAAAAATTTTTACAAATATTATAGGTACATTTTCATTGAATTTCATTGAGTCTGAATTTCCTGACTCTGGTTAGATAAATTTGAAAGAAGGAATAATTGTCACTATATAAATGACAAAATGTGGTATTTTGAAACAAGTTAATCTGATTCTTTTTTTGAAATTAATCTGATTCTAACACAAATTTTATCACATTGAAGCCTGTTCATCTTTTTCACAATCAGAATGAAATTCTACTGTACTGAGCTTAATAATTGTATTTGAGTAAGTGAAACAGAGGAAAATGTCACTTGTTTTATGTATAAATTATTCATTTAAATAGAAACTGAGGTCTAAAACAAGTTGGGATTCAGTGGGATAAACTTAAAAACATAAACTCCTAATATATAAAGGAAGTTACAGTCATTATTTGTTGCTTTTGATCGTGTTTGTTTGAATATACTTAAAATTTCATGGGATGCCTGGGTGGCTCGGTTAAGCATTTGCCTTTGGCTCAGGTCTGATCCTAGAGTCCTGGGATTGAGTCCTGCATTGGGCTCCTTGCTCCGTGGGGAGCCTGCTTCTCCCTCTGCCTGCCACTCTCCTTGCTTGTGTTCTTGCTCTCGTTCTCTCTCTCTCTCTCTCTCTAACAAATAAATAAATAAATAAAATCTTTTTAAAAAATGAATATACTTAAAATTTCAAAGCATGGCACCTTTTTCATATTTAAAAAAAACATTACAAATATGTTAGTCTGATATGTGACACATTTGTTATATGTAATGTTTTGTATTTTTGAGTAAGTAGTAGAAAAAAATGCTTCACCTAGTTGACAGTAGTCTAGTATAACAATGGATTATCAAAATGTATCATGAGGACTATGAGAATAGTCCATCATTTATAACCCTTAAGCAACTTTTTATATCAGATACTATGTGAAAGAACTCATTATAACATTTATTTTACATGTATTATTTATCAGCACAGTGTACAGTACTGGAAATATAGTGACAAACAAGATAGATGGGTTCCTTGCTCTCCCAGTTCTTACAAATTTATGAGGAAGACAAGAAAAAACATTAACAAACAAGATGATAATAGAGTGTGTTAAGTGTGATAATAAAAGGTAATAAGACAGAGAGTAAAGAGAAAAAACTTCATTAGGTAGGGTACTCAAAGAATGCTTCTTTAAGAAAATCACAATTCAGTGAAGACCTGACCTACAGGATGAGAGATTCAGTCATGTGAAGCATTGAAGAAGGAGTATTTCAGGTAGAGGGAACACCAAAATGAAAAGGTCTTGAGATGGGAGAGGTACCAGCACATTTGAAGTATATAAAGGAGACTGATGTCACTGGATGGAGTGAATGAGGAAAAGAGTATTACAAGGTGAAATTAGAGATAAGGGCAATAATATTACCCAAAACAGAAATCTTGATCACACGCAACGCCTCAATCTGAAATGGCCCAAACTTATTCCTTCTCCAGAAAATGACTCTTAACATCTGCCTATTCAATCATTTCAAATAGGCAATCTATTGATTTCTTGCTTTCTCACTTGGCTTATCCCCTAGTTACTAGTAATTATAAAGTCATGTCTTCTCAATTTCCAAAATAGATCTTGGTCCCAAATCCAGCCATTTTTACCAATGTCCATTGTCATCACCCTAGTTTTAGTCACTATGACCTCTCGCTTAAAAAATTACATCAACCTTCTTGCTGTACTGCTTCCATTCTTAATTTCTCTCTAATCCATTCTTCAACTTGCGGTCCAAGGGTCCACTCAAAAAGATTATTTAGATCACATGACTCTCCTGTTCAAAATATTTAAACAATTTCTTATTCTTGGAATGAAAGGCTTTATCACGTTTCATATCTTATCACAGTATACACATAAAAAGTTACTTCCTTAGTTTTATGCTTTTGCATGCTATTAATGAGCACAATCAGCTATGGCTTAGATATTACCAAGTAGAAAGTACTAATATCACTAGTTCTCTTATATCTCTTCTTGGGATTTTATTTTATTTTTCAGAGAATTAGTGTTTGACAAAATTTAAGTACTCCTTAGTCACTAACTTAGTGCTATTAAAACATTATTTATATCTATTCTTTTTAAATCTGCCATGAAAATTAAATTTTGCTCTTACTTATTTACTAAAACAACTTTTTACTCAGTTGAAGGATGGTTGAGCAATGGTTTTTCCTTGTTAAATGCTGATATATATCTAATCAGTCTCTGCTTTGTTGTACTGAACTGAATGATTTCCAATCTTTTTATTTGTCCTTTGACTAAAGTTAAAGTTGTTAAAAGCAATGGGAAAAAAAATCTTTAAAAAGCATACAGAATTACTAATTTAGCTCCTAAACATTAATTGATCATCCAACAGATGTGACTTCCAGTATAATTCATGTATCAAAAACAGCAGGCAAAATTCACTCACAAGACCTGGGTCACTTACAGTAAGGGAGATTGTTTCTGTGAAAGTCTGGCAATATGTTTTAAACACTCTTTTGGTGGTTCTTCAAGGTTATTTCTATTCTCTTCAGAATCAAGTTTCATATACTCCCACTCAGTAGCTGGAAAATCAATCTGAAATAAAGAAATGGTTTGCCATGTATTGAATGCCTCAAAATGCATCATTAATTTAATATTCTCTACCTAGTTTGTAGAAACTAAAGGAAAATTCCTATGTTATTTCTGTGTTCTTTTCTACTTAAAAATAATTTTTAAAAGAATCATTAGGGTTGGGACACCTGGGTGGCTGGTTAAGCGTCCGACTCTTGATTTTGGCTCAGGGTCGCAGGATCGAGCCCCATGTCAGGCTCTATGCTTAGTGCAGAGTCTGCTTGAGATTCTCTCTCTTCCTCTCCTTCTGCGCCCCTGCTACTTGTGTGCTCTCTATCTCTCTCTAACATAAATAAGTAAAATCTTTAAAAAAACAAAAAGAATCATTAGGTTTTGGACTTGGTATTTAAATATATATGGTATTTAGCAAATCCTCAATTATTTATATAAGTGGCATAAATTAGTAATGTGTAATGTTATCTGAGGAAAAATGAGAAAAAATAGCAATATATGAAGTTTCATAAATTTAAATATTATATTGTTGTTTAATGCTGAAATTATATACTTTATACAGTTAAGTATTAAGATATCTTTCTATTATTAAATGATAAAAAATGTAGATGCTAGGGGCACCTGGGTGGCTCAGTTGGTTAAGCGACTGCCTTCCGCTCAGGTCATGATCCTGGAGTCCTGGGATCAAGTCCCGCATTGGGCTCCCTGCTCGGCAGGGAGTCTGCTTCTCCCTCAGACCCTCCCCCCTCTCATGTGCTCTCTTTCTCATTCTCTCTCTCTCAAATAAATAAATAAAATCTTTAAAAAAAATGTAGATGGTAATTACACTTTTCTCATATAAATACCTGAGAAAATAAAAAGAATTACTCTATGTTGGTTTCTACTTCAGGAAATCTACAGGGCTGTAAACCACTTTGTAGACATGAAATTTCTGGTAAAGATCTGTGTAAGTGTATAACCAAATACAGTATTTTTGCTCTTGCTCTGTAGTTCAGATTTATAGACAGGGCTAGAATTCAGGCCACTTTTTTTGGCAGAATGTGTTTTCTAGTAAACCATGTTTCAGTGATAATCTGAATCAAGTAAAATAAAAAAAAAACAGTTAACAAAATATACAGTTTCAAACCATGTAAATGAGCTAGATATTTTAGTGCCCATATGTGTGTTTAAAGTTATAATATTTTTTTATATTAAAAAAATCTAAATTATTTTTCTCTGCTGAACTATGTTAGTTTGGGATCTCAGAGAAAATTGAGAAACATAAGGTAGACTGTGTGAGTTACAGCTTGAAATATGGTTGAATCTATTTGGGTTATTTACTAGAAAAAAGTTTTAGCAATTTTATAACCTCTAAAATTTGTTGCCACATTTGTTTTTGGTATAATTTTTGTTATACTGTACCATTTAATACTCCAACATGATAAAAGAAATGAGTCATAGAAAAGCAATATTATAATAAATTTTCCCTCTTGACAAAAAGATTAATTTTGGTTCCTTAGAGAGAGGTAGCTCTAGCATTGGCAGGTTATGTTACTCTATGTGCTCAAATATTTTAAACACATGAAACAAAAATACTAGAAATAGTATTTGATGAACTAGTTCAATTTTATGTTGGTTTTAAGTGAAAAGCAGGGTGGATGAGGAAACTAAAGTTACTGGATGAGAATATAGAAGTATCCCTGTGCACAAATATGTAATAAATTCTTTGATATATTTCACTTACGAATTTTTAATTTCTGATATATGAATGAGTCCCTATACAGACTGCATTATGTCATATGTTATGAGGCTAAAATTACTGATTCCTGACCCACTGATAGAAAATATTGGAATTTCTCCCAAATGCCTTTTGTTGTAATTTTTCACAGAAGTGAAGTTCCCACAAAGTATATGTTATTATATTTGCTCTAGAATTTTTTTGCATATCATGCATTATGGAAGATATAAAAAGTATCCATCACCTTCAAAGAACTTAAAGTCTAATTAAGGAGAAAAGGTATACATTAACAATTAAAGTATGGTACAATATATATACATAGCACCCTGAAGCTGTGCTTCAAGTCAGTAATGGCAAACATGTGACTCTGGTTTTCTCCTTCTATGATTGTAACTAGCCAAGCCTGCTTTGGTCTCAAAAGTATTTTTAATGGAGTGCTCCAGGAGATCTCCTCAAATGTCTCCATTGCATGAGCCATAACATCTATTTATTATATTCCTGCCTCAAGCATTGAGGATAGACTCCTGATTTCAAGAACAACAACAACAAAAAATTATGAGGCTCTTTTCTCTGAGATGCAGGAAAATATTCAGACCTGATTATCCAGTCCTTTAATTCACACCTCCTTATACATCTGGATATTGACTTCTTGTGTTCCATTTATGCCTCTTCACTTCCTCTCCTCATCCTTCTCCATTTACACTTCACCACCATGATTCCTACTGTGACTTTATGACTTGGAATTCCTTGAGGAAGCTGCTGTGAATGTCCCTAGTGTCCATGACCCACAACCATGCCCAGAGGTGCCAATGGGCCCAGTTTGGGTCCCCATGATTCTGTCAACTTGTTCAAAGAACTACCCCCTGGACTGTAGATGTATTTGGATATTATGAGGCACATGAACGTTAGACCATAAGTACTATGGTATTTCAGGGTAAGGAAGGATGCCTACCAACTGGATGGTAATTGTGGTGAGTCTTAAGGAAGGAAATGTAAAAGAGGGATCCATAAGGCAGTTCAGGAGTGATGGAAAAAAACAAAAACAAAAACAAAAAACAAACATCTGCTACATTAGGATGCAAAAGGTACTGTGTTCTAAAGACCTGGTATCAATAAGACTGTTGCCTCCCCCTAACATTGTTGATAATGAAGTGTAAGCATCTAATACAATGTTCGGTAAAGTAAAATACTTTGGGTGAGTAAGTAAGTATGAATTAGTTTAAGAGGAAGGCCACTTAGATAAAAGGAAGAACCAAACACTCTAGAATCTGGATTCCAATAATTGCAATAAAGTGCAAAGTTTAGAAACATCTGTACGTTGGGTTATTGTAGTGATAAAATGTATGGACACATAGCATTGATTTTACAAATATTATATTTCAGGTACTATGCTAGATGTTAGGGATAAAACACCCAATGCCTTCAGAAATCACAAGTCAATGGGCAAAAAGTCAATGAGAAAGAAGTATAATGTGGTTCATGTGTTGATAAAAATCTTACTGGTTATTATGTGAATGCAAAGGAAGGTCACTTAACCCTGCTTGGGGTGGAAAGAGAGGAGAGCATATGGGAGAGATTCCTAGAGGAGGGCCTATGGATCCTAAAAGATGAATATTAATTACACAAATTATGTCAGAGGAGGGGTAGGCAGTGGATGGTGAGAGGAAGAGGGAGGGTACACCACAAGCAGGAAACAGTATTTGTAAATGCACATAAGGTAAAAGCAGGACAGTGCATGTCAGAAACTACATTTTCAAAGTTGCTGGAGCTTGAAGTGTCAGATAAGGAGTGGCAAGAGAAACAGTGGGAGGGGAGTCATGCTGTAGAGCGTGACCTTAATTCTCTAGGTAGTGCTGAGTTATTGAAGAGTGTAAATAAAAGAGTGGCAGGTTCAAATTTAAGTTTTAGGAAGATCAAACTTATGGATTTTGGATTATAGAATGACAAAACTAAAAGCAAGAAAGCCAGCTAAACTATTGTAACCTAGGAGGGAATTTTTGAACTAGGGCAGATGTGGCGAATAGAAAGGATACACGTGGGAAACATATGGGAGGTAAACTGGCAGAGTATAGTACAGACTGAGTATGAGTAGGGATAAAGAGGGATGAGGCAAATGAAACAAGTAGGTGTATGTGGGGGCATGAACAGACATAAATAATTCAGGGGATGAGAGCAATTTGGAGAGAAAGATGAGCTCAGTTTGGGATATGTTTTCTTTGAAGCTGTCTGTAGAATATCCAGGTGGGAGTTTCAGCAGGTATGTGGCTATATTTGTCTGAAGTGTGTAGTGTGAAATATACGAACTAGAGATAGATTAAAAAGTGAACCTGGATAGATATTGTGAATAAAACCTTAGAAATGAATGAGATCTAGCAATTCTAATGATATATATATATAATCTCCAAGATAAATGAAAACATACGTCCACACACAAACTTGTACACAAATGTTCACAGCAGTGCCATTCTCAATAGCCAAAATGTAGAAACAATCTAAATGCATATCAACTAATGAATGGATAAAGTATAGTAGTATATCCAGCCAATGTAATATTATTCAACAATAAAAAAGGAATGAATACTGATGTATGCTATAATGTAGATGAACTTTGTGCAACATTATACTAAATGAAAGAAGCCAGTCACAAAAGACCAAGTATTGTATGATTTAATCTATATGAAATATGCAGAATAGGTGAATCTATAGAGACAGAAAGTAGATTAGCAGTTTTTTAGAGTTGGGGAAAATGGGAGAATAAGAGGTGATAGCTAAAGGATATAGGATTGCTAATTGAAGTGATGAAAATGCTCTAAAATTGATGTTGGTGGTTAATTGTACATATCTTTGAAAGAACTAAAAAAAAAAAAAATCCCAAAAAATGAATTGCACACTTTAAAAGGGAAGGTTGTATGGTATGTGAATTCTATCTCAACAAGGCTTTTTAAGAAGTTTTCCCAGGAGAGTATATATACTGAGAATAACAATGGGCAGTACATGGAACTTATGAGAACTGTCAACAGGGAGGATTAGCAGAAGGGAAGCCTGGGAAGGAAACAGAGAAAGGATAATGAGAGGAAAAGAGTGTTCTCCAATAGGAAAGAGTGCCAAAAGTTGCAAAAGCTAGTCTGAAGAGAACTAAAACCACCACTGGATCGGGTAACTAAGAATAACAAGCCAGAATATAGTGAATTTAGACATGAATGGGGAGGTGGGGAAGTAGAGGAATATGAAATAGAACAAGAGCAACATTGTCTAAAACTCTGCTCTTAGTTCTTTTTTATTTTATTTTATTTTA